GTAATAAACAGTGACAATCTAAAAGCCAAGTGTCGCAGGGGGACAGCCTGGATAATCCACATCAGAATTCTGAAGAGTCATCTATGCCTCTGTGTCCACCCGGGAGATGAGGGATCTGTCTCGTGGCGGCCTGGAGGGACCAGTCTGTGGTCTGAACGGTGCTTTGCATTATCAATTTATGCCGATAGAGAGGACAAAATAAAAAACAATTACACTGTCTTAAGTGGGTGTCTTTGAATTGACTTTCTGTCCCCTGCCTCCCAATGGCATGTCACTGCTGTCAGGAGACTGACAGCTCTCCACTGCTGATCATTCCATGCTGATGTCTCAGATCATGAGTCAAACCTCAGCACCCTTTCTTTTGCTTCTGTATTGGAATTTATTCTACTTCATCCAGTCATAGTGGTGCATCATTTAAAACAGTAACAAAAAGAACAACCTGAGCATATTAGTTAGTTGGCAATTTAAAAATTGGGTTCTTTGCAGAACATTCAGTGACATGGGAAAATGTTCATCATATAATATTAAGTGAAAAAACCAGGAGACAAAATTATGTATGCAATATGACCTGATTTGATTATATGTATATGTATGTGTATGTAATTCCAAATATTAGTCTTGATCATTTCTGGACAATGCAGTTAAGGGTAATTTTAATTTTCTTCTTTATGCTTTCAAAAATTTACTAAATTGTACATGTATTATTTTTATAAGCAGAAAGAAAATAATCTTTTCAAATACTACTACATGGATGCAAAATATTCCTCTGTTTAAATCTGCATTTTATTGTTTATATATACTACATTTTACCACACTAACTCCACACCCTGTCATCTGGATTCCCTAAGTCCCACCCACATGGTTCAACTCTGTTTCTAGCATCCAGAATACAAAAGAAGTGAGCGAGCTGACTTCTGAGTGACTCCTCAGTCCATCATGTGTCAGGAAGCAGAACAAGCCAGAGGAACTGGCTTCTGGTCCCCATCCTGCTCTTCATAGTAATGCAAGGACCTTGGAAATCCCTCTGAGCATCCTGGCCAACTTCCCATATGTGAACTAAAAGATTGGGCTGGATGACCCAAGGGCCCATCTCACTTGAAACTTCTACTTTTCATGAGCCGCTGGCTCTAACTGAAGCAAAAAGCTCCAATCACCATGAGTGTGAGGTTACTGCAAAGTTCCGTTCACAAGGCAAATAATTTTCATTCAACAGGAAATGGTGAAATCCAAGAGTCATAAATATCTATAAATATGTGCTGTTTTATCTCAGGACAAATCTCTCAGGCAAAACAGTCATTGCAGATGTAAATACAGCCCAGACCTCTATGGTCTTGAAAATGGGGGGGGGGGTGGTATGGGGCTCAAAGAAGAGATCGGTAAGGCGGCCTTTCAGAAACGTTAAATTATACACTGTCCCAAACATAGATAAGGAATTTGCTGTGTACCCAGCATTTAAGTTTAACAGGGTCCGAATTCACCTGAATCATTAAATGACTCAAGTATAAACACCTGGAATGATTACAATACTCTGAACCTGAACAATTAGTCATAGAAAATATAACCTTTAACTCAGATGAGATAACTGACATGTTAATTTCTTAAAATTATGTAATACGTAATTCACCATAAAATAAAATTCAAACCATACAGATGTACTCTACATAGAGAGTAAAAACATGTAAGTTCCTCTTCAAGTCTTCTCTCTGCCTACAGCTCTACTCACAGGTGACCTAGGTTTTGTTTTAAATGTGCCTATCTTCACAGTTCCTATCTATCTCTCCCAAAGCACTACAAGAATATCTACAAATATCAGATGTCTTTGTTCTGTCAGATTTAACCAAGAACTTGACAAATTTCTCGCTAAAATGGAATAGTTCCTTTCCAAAGAAAAATCCATTACTTAATCTCTTCTAGAATGGATTCCAACTATCTTTCTCTAGCTCTGCTAATCTTATCTTAAAAATAATAAGCAGATCAACATAGATCTTAAAGGGAGAATTGCTACCAGGACAGCAAGAACAGCACAGAAGCTTCTGTGTGTGTGCAGCTTTTCACCTACCAGATACAGTCACATGCGGACCTTTCCTACATCAGGCTCTCAGAGCTCAGCAGAAGCCCCTCAATTTAGTTACCATGTGAAAACACATCCAGTCTGCAGGAACTGCCAGCAAACAGGATCACAGCTCTTCTTCATCTTCTTTCCTCTCACTCTCAACTCTTCCTTCTCTGCAAAACTATTCCCAGACAGAGCTACAGTTCAAGGAGAATCGGGTATTTTGGAGTTACGAGAAGTTCAGAGATGGCTCTTAGATTCGTGACCAGTCCTGAAGCTTTCATTATTTAAATGCTGATGTGGACAATCTATTACTGGAAAACCCAGTTTTCTAGAAAGTATAAAACTCCATTGAGTTTTGTAAGATGGTTAAGTGTGGAGCCAATAGAAAAGAAAATAATTTATGAAATGAAATACAATTAACCAAAGAGCTCAGGTCCAAAACATTGAGCTTAGGGAGGAGAAATGATGTTTTTTTTTCTTAAAATAGAGGAAATATATTTACTAATAAACATCGTTTATTAGTATTTATTATTCTAAGCATTTTACATGAGTTAAACAATTTAATTTCACAACAAACCTATAGGAAAGTTCTATTATCATCTTCATTTTCAAGATAAGGAAAGTAAAGAACAGAGAGCTAGTAAATTTCATCTCACAGGATCTGGGTTCTCCCTCCTTAGTAGCAAAATGGCTGCAACAGTGTCAGCCCTCACATCTCCTCCCCATACCATCCAGAGGAAAAGATGATCTTTTCTGGAATTCACACTCCCATTGTCCTGTTTGGGTCACATGCTCTTCCTATGTCGACAGGGACACTAGGATATGCCAATTTGACTAAGCCACCTGATTATATACCTGGAGGGAAGGGTCAACGTCACCTAAACTTCACAGCTGAGAATGGAGATAGTAGGAGAAAAAAAGATAATGGATCCTGGAGAGGTGACCTTCTCTGAAATGTCTACTGTAGTATTCATCAACCAGAAAAGGAAGAACAGAGAGTTTTTCTAAGGGTCAATTATAATTATGTTCCAGCTTGAAACTATTAAGTCTTATTGGCATTATTCTGAAACAATATGTCCTCCATGTAGTTACTTTTTTAAGCAAAGTCAAATTTTTATTCTATCCTCTGTTTCCCAGTATTGATTTCTCCCGGGGACAACAGCAGGTTTGTAGTACATGTTGGGCACTCTCTGGAACATATGTGACCATTTTTTATGAGGAAATTTGATAGTGCAGAACTAGGACTATCATATGCTTTTTTGATTAGTGGAAAATAATGATTTCAAATAATATTCTTTCTACCTACTCATCTTTTATGCATGTGTTATTTCACCCCTGAGTTATGGATTTAGTGCTTTGCTTACACACAAGCAAAGCACACAGATGAAATCAAGAACTGTATGAGTCCTATGAAATACTCAGAACTATTTCTCTGCTTTTATTCCAAACAGATAATTAGCTATCCAATTTAAAAGATGTTCTCGAATGAAGATGCCACAGCGTTCCTTGGGAACACATTTTAAAGTTTAATGATCTTTACTATCAGCAGGATGCCTGTATTGAAACTAACATTGAATTCAATTTAATCCAATGAATATTTGTTAAATATGGAGTACCTAAATATAGAGTACCTATGTGATCTTCCTGAAGCTCATACCCAGGTCTCAATAGAAAACATCCTCCCCATTAGCCTTCATAAACTAGAAGACCACAGTTGTACACAAGTCGTATGCAAGCTAATCAACATGCATGTATTTGAGTAGCTGTGCTACAAAAGCTTGGTGGCATGCAAACAAGCGTAAACATTATCTTCAACCTCACCTCCCCAGGATACATGTTTGCATTTCATTTTCCTGGTCCTCATCGTTTCCATGGCTTTCCTCTGAACCTCCTGCTAGTTTTCCACAGCTATGATAAATTGATGTCTCACAACTGAACTCCACAAATAGAAACAACCAAATGGATCCTAGAAAAAAGAGTGGCTTATTTGGGGAAACATATTCCCAACCACAACCCTTTTACATTGAGTTGTGCTTAAGTGGAAAAGAAAAATAAGTATAAAACTAAAAGAGTAAACATAACAGATCTCGACTAATAATCCAGGGAGAAACACTTCATATCATTGTTACTAGGAATGACTAATCTGATAAAGCCCTTAGCTAACACCAGCTGTCCATAATCAAAATAGACTAGCAACCATTCCCAGGCCTACGATGGTGCACACAGGCTGCTGAGAAGGACTGATTCTATCAAAACCTAAGCAGCTCCAAAGTTCATTCAGTTCTGCTCCTGAACAAGCTTCAACACCATTTTAGACCTCTCCAAGGGGGTGTAAAGCTCCAGAGCAGGCATATTAAAGAGTGGTTGAAGTCATCTCATTTAATGCAAGAATCCCTCTACAACCGCGGTTATCTGTGGTTGCAGCTCTGGGGGAGCTGGGCAGGGCTGCTCCAAAGACCTTTGTCAAGTTCCAAATATTGGAAAGCCATTTCTTACAGTAAGTCACACCCCTCCTCTCTGCCTTTCCCACTGCAAGGGGTCTAAGCCTCCTTCTGATGATAGGACTTTAAAGAGAGGAAGACAGCTACCATGGCCCCTTACTCACAACTCCCACTGTCTTCCTAGAGCATCTGACAGCCCGCATATCATTCGTGTCTCTCTCCCTGTCACTTTGGTTCAGCAAGTTATGTGATACAAAATCTAGACTTTTTGAAAAAACTTACCTGCTTCCAAAAAAAAAAAAACAAAAAAACTTACTTGCTTCCTTTTCTACCATATTTTTGTTGTTGTTGTAAAAGGTGTTTATGTTTATTTTGTACTCACTCAGAACTGAATAAGTGAACCAGTACACATCATACTAAGCCTTTTTTTTTTTTTTTTTAAAGATTTTATTTATTTATTCATGATAGTCACACAGAGAGAGACAGAGAGGCAGAGACACAGGCAGAGGGAGAAGCAGGCTCCATGCACCGGGAGCCCGACGTGGGATTCAATCCCGGGTCTCCAGGATCGCGCCCTGGGCCAAAGGCAGGCGCCAAACCGCTGCGCCACCCAGGGATCCCATCATACTAAGCCTTTATCCGGAGGATGTCCTTTTCGTCATAAGTCAATATTTATGCTGCTTTGTGCCTGTTTAAACTCCACTCTGCTACTTTCCTCTGGCGTGGAGTCTCTCTGTATTTGGTCTTCTCCATTCACTCACTCTTGCCCTGTGGATTAAGGTCAGGTAGCAAATGCCTCCCTTCTACATCATCTAATTGATCATGCTGCTGTGACATTTCAATCTCTGCCTCATCGGGAGAAGAAGCTCCATGTTAGATGGTAATGCTGTGGAGGGGAACACAGAAATAGAAAAAGCCTATTAACCTTCAGAAAACGATAGCACATTTTGTGCTTCTCTTAACACCTGATTATTTTCTAAGCAGTAAAACCTTCAATTTATTAAGCCCTAGGTGGGTAAGTGATGTTTTATCAAACAGAGAACATGAAATACCACTTCTATGTGATTTTGTGGCACTCTCACAAACTGGGAGAGATTGGAGTAATGACCAATCTGTGAGAGTCACAGATCTGAGACCTGAACACTGAGGTGCTCTGTCTACACATTTCTTTTTTTTTTTAAGATTTTATTTATTCATGAGAGACACACAGAGAGAGAGGCAGAGACACAGGCAGAGGGCAAAGCAAGCTCCATGCAGGGAGCCTGACGTGGGACTCGATCCCGGGTCTCCAGGATCATGCCCTGGGCCGAAGGCAGCGCTAAACCGCTGAGCCACCCGGGCTGCCCCTCTGTCTACACATTTCTACATTGATATTTACACAGATATTGCTAACGTGTAACTCCAAAAGGCAGAATTCAGACCTTGTCTGAAAGAGCTGGGACTATAACCCAAAGCACCCGGTACAGACCCAGCTTCTACTGTGTCGAGCAGCTTTACCTATCTTAACTCACTCACCCTTCAAAACATCCTCTTAACACCTGGAAGATGGGCTCCATTTTACAGATGAGTTCACTGAGGCTTGGACACTTGTGACTTGTTGAAGCTCACATGTGAAGCTCACATAGAGTTTAACTAGAAAACACATCAATCACTGAAATCAGTAGAGCATAAGCATCTCTCATAATTTCTCCTCTCTGAGATATTATACTACAAAATTAACCTCTGCTCATACCCTAATTTTGGTAAGTAATACAGACAAAAGAAGCAGTCAGAGGGGACTAAGGAATCCAAGAAGGCTACTGGCATATGTTATGGAGGATGTGTCACCAAGACACTACCTGGCAGCCAACCCTGATCTTGGTCTCAGCACCTTGAGAGGGAGAGAGAAGCCATCCTATGCTGCTAATGGTGCAGGAACACCTCGAGGCTGTTCTCGCATCTGCTGGTGGCCACCTCTCCTGCTGCTGTTTGCTGCAGAAGCCTGACTCCAAAGGCCTATCTCCACCAAGAACATAGGATCTTTCAAAATATGGAAGCCCCAAGATAGGACCCAATTTTCTGCTGTCTCTGGCTTGAGGTATGAAAACCCATTTTTTAAAAAAATGTTCCGGGGAGAGGAGGAGACAATATTTTTCTTTCTCATTTTCTGAAAGAATGGAGAAGTTTCCTCTGAACATTTTGTAGAAAAAAAAAAGGAAAAGAAAAATCCTGGGGATGGGGATGTAATGTTCCTTCTGAAATTTTCCAGGTATTTCTGAACCTTCACACCACTTACTCTAGTATTAAAGCACGTGAACAGCAGGAACCTTTTTTAGGTAATTAGGCACAGAACAATCTCTGCTTTGCCGTCTTCTTTATAATTGCAGGCTAGTGACATGTGTTCCTTCATCTGTAAAATGGTGATAATATTAGCCTACTCCAGGGAGATTTTGTAAGGATAATAGAGAAAATTTGCCTGTATACCCATTTTTAGCAACCACCTCCATAGACAAAAGTTTCTAAGGGATTTGGGAGGAGTTGGAGGGAGCACAGAGGGAGTGGGATGATAGGAGGAAATTCAGAGAAAGAAGCCCAGCCCACCTCTTCCAAGGGATAGCATCCCAGTTTATCTTCCCCCAGTATAAGCTCTCTTTTGTGATCTAGATCTTCTTCTGACCCAGCAGGTTCTCCATGAGACCTCTTCCGGGTCTCAGGGAGCTAGTATTCCCACCATAAGGGCCCTTGCTTAATATTTTGTTATAGAGAGTCTCACATTTTTATACATGCCTTGCTGCTTTCCAGACTACATGAAATATGCTAATACCATGACAATGGCTTCATTAAGAAAATTATAGTAATGTAGAATCGATTGACTTTTGGCCTAAGAGACCAATTACATCACTGTCCACCTCCCACTTTAGTTTTATGATGGTTGACAAGCACACAGAGCCCCATAGCAGCAAAGGCAAAGCTGGTCTTCAAGGCTGACCATCCTGAGATGCTTACATACCCAGCCAGCCGCAGAAGTAATAAAGTATTACTCGCCATCGGAGAGTGAAGGAAAACAAAACAAACAAACCTCAAATGAACACCACCATGGCAGAATCATGAAAAAATAAAGCCACTGCTTGATTGGATTTAAAAGAAATTACACAAAGAAGAAAGAACGTTTCTTTCAGTTCACCCAAATTAATAACATTTAACTCTACTGAAAGCATTCAGTTTGCAGAGAATATGATTATAGGTCAAGCCACCAACAAAAAGTTGGGATTCAGAATGTGATAAATTAGAATTGGCCTTTTGTATCACAATGTCAGTGTTTTCAAATTACTAGAATGTTTTAATAGAAATCACTCTTTAAGAAGTTAGGCTTCTTAATTGTATTTGTAGATGAATATGATTGCCCCATTTTTTAGTTAAATAAAATTTTAGTATCTACATTGAATTTGGTCAAGATGTATATCCAAAAATATAGCTAAATAATAACAACTAACTCTTTCTAGAAACAAAGCCAAGACAAAAGACATATTCATCAAGTATAAAATCTGATCATTTTTTATTTTAGTTTCACAGGTCTCAAAAATGACCTAGAGTGGATGATTACATGTTCATTCCCCTCTTCCTGTCCAACTACCTGCTTTGCATCATAAGCAAGACTCTTCTATACTTGTGATTCTTTTTCTGAATATGTCAAAATACCAATGGTCCTGCAGTAATTTCAATTCCTCTCTATGCATTTCCATCTACCTTTTCAACAAGTATCAAATTAATGATCTGTTCATCTCTGAGTCACTACTGAGGCACCCCATAAATCAAGAGATGTGCTTTTGATTCAATACATTACCTTCATTCCTTCTCTGCTAGACCCTAAAAAAGAAATCATTCGGATTAGGGAAAATTATTGCCAGAAGAGAATCATCAAAAAAGTGTCTCAAAGGGTCACCTGGGTGACTCAGTCAGTTAAATATCTGACTCTTGATTTCAACTCAGGTCATGATCTCAGGATGGTGAGATCCAGCCCCAACCCGTGTTGGACTCTGCGCTCAACACGGAGTCTGTTTGAGTTTCTCTCTCCTTCTCCTTCTCCTTCTGCCTCCCTCCACCACATATTCTCTCTCACTAAAATAAATAGGGGTAGCTGGGTGGCTCAGTCAGTTGTGTATCTGCCTTCAGCTCAGGTTATGATCCTGGAGTCCCAGGATTGAGCCCCAGGATCAGGCTCCCCTCTCAGTGGGCAGTCTGCTTCTCCCTCTGCCTCTGCCCCTTCCCCCTGCCTTGTGCTCTCTCTCACTTTTTCAAATAAATAAAATCTTTGTAAAAAGTTAAATAAACGTTTTTTTAAGTGTTTCATGGCCTTCAAAATCTAAATCAGATCTGTAAAACTGATTATGAAGTATTAGTTAAGCACTATCATTGCAAGATGGTATTTAAAAGTAGCATAAGTCTATATATATGCATATGATATGCAATTTTGTATGTATGCACAATAACTTAAATGAAAGACATAAATATAAACTGTTGCGGTGGATATTTATGTGCATGTGTGTTAATACTTTTGACAGCTCAATATTCACTTCTCCTTCCTATAGAACACAAATTTTCTTTTGGTGAATTACTTCTTTCCCATTATATTGTCTTGGTGGAACAGTAAATCCAGTGGGGCATCCTACTAAGAATGTCAAATTAACTAGCCTTTCCCACACTTCCTTGTAAAAGCCAGAAGCCTGGGGAATCAGCTGTCATTTTCCAGGATTTGCATGTTTATGTGAGAGATATTGGGCTGGAAGAAGCTGTTGGAATTCCACACTTCCCACCAGTGGTGCCTGAACATGATTGTTCCTGGTCTGAAAATACTGCCAGCCCCCAGAGCAGCCTTCAGTAATGACTATTCTCAGCTTTCCAAGTGATTTCCTGGTAAATTTCCAGGAGATTCCCTGCTTAAATTGCCCAAAGTCATTTTCTGTTGCCTGCAACCCAAGGACCCTGATCATGACAGTTACTTATGAAACAAACACTGTGTAAGAATACACATTAAATATATTATTTACATTCTGGGTGATTAGTATACATGTGTAGATGCATTTTGTTGATCAGTGACTAGAGAGGATAAAGGAAGTTGAATTTTGAGGCAGGAAGGTTGCCATGAGCTCTCTCCAGGAAAATAAGAACTGAGAAAACATCTTTTTCAGACAGTGTGTATGTGTGTGTGTGTGTGTGTGTGTTTCAGATACTATACATATATATAACTAGTGGTATGTTCTGAAATTTTATTAATACCTTTAATAGAATATCAGTTAAAATTGGCAGCAGGGATGTTCGGTGAGAACTCCAACAGCAAAAAAAAAAGTGAGCTGCCTTTCTCTGTGGAAAAATTTTATATCTTATGCTGCCATTAAAAGAACATCTCATCCAACTATTCAATATATGTGAGTTTATTATGCTCAAATAGCTATGGATATTTTATTGTTCACTCTTTGCGATCTTTTTTAATAGCTACTAACTATCCTGACATGCCCATATCACCCCACCAGGAGAGGATTTCTTCGCCTTGTTGATACAGAGAATTAACTTAATGTTGCAGAACTTAAGGCCTTCTCTTTTATAAACTTATCATATCCTTTCTCTCCCTGTGCAATAAGTCTGATTTAATTATCTCCTAGAAATCAGTAAAGGTACTATTTTTGTCTTGGCTTGCCCTTAATCCTTATTTGATTAAAGTACCACATGCTTAATTGGGCTGCGTTTACCTCAACCTCTTCATTCCAAATATGGAAGGCAGCAGTGGGACTGTTGGGGTGTTTTCACAGGCCCCTTCGGCTCCACAGACAGTTCTGGGATCACCAGCAGATGGGAGTCATGCACAAAATGCGGGTTCCTCTTCTAGGCCGCGCCACCCCGCACTGCTACGCCCCCTGAACCTCTTCTCTTCCTGGGTTCCTGCCAGCAAGGGAAGAGGAGGTATTTGTAAGAATGAGGAGGGTGTGTGACACCTATTACTCCCCATTCAACAGGCTGGAATCTTCTCAATCTTGCAGGTCTTTTAAAAAGACTTCAAGTGCTATTAGGTGGAAGCCCTGCAGTATTGACAAGAAAGGGCTCACTAAAAAGCTCAGCATCTGAAAAGGAAAGAGAAAAACACAGGCCCCTGTCAACACATATTTGTTAAGAAAGGATGGGTATTACTGTGATGCTTCTACCAATGAGTGAACTTTGAAGATGCCAGGAGAGAGAAGGAGTGGGACAGGAAGAGGGAGCATTTCTCTTGGCTCCAAGTGGAAGCAGTATTGCATCAAAGTCATTTTCCCACCAGTCGGCATAACCAGGGTCTCTACGACACAGGGCCCAGCTGTAACAGAACAACGTCGGTAGAGGAAGTGGCTGGGTTTCGACATTACCTTCTGTACTGGTTTCCTGTCCGGCCACCATAACAAAGCACCACAAACTGGGTAGCTTTCAACAGCAGAAATTTCTTCTCTCACAGTTCTGGAGGCTGGAAGTCTGAAATCAAGGTGTTGGCAGGGTTGGTTCCTTCTGGAGGCTCTGAGGGAGAATCCGTTCCCTGCCTTTCTCCTAGCCTGTGCTGCTTGCCAACCATCCTTGGCATCCCTTGACTTGCAGCTGATTCACTCCAATCTGTGCCTCTGTCATCACATGGCATTCTCTCTGAGTGTCTCTGTGCACAAATTTGCCTCTTCTTATAAGGACACCAGTGAATTAGGACCCACTGTAATCCAGGACGACCTCAACTTAATTTGATTATATAAGCAAAAGCCTTATTTCCAAATAAAGTCACATTTGAGGCACTGGGAGCTATGACTTCAACATATCTTTTTGGGAAACACAATCCAATCCACAATATCCTCTGTAAACAAAGTAGCTGTGTGCTGTTTCCAAGCTATTCAGCACTCACCTTTGTATGTTCAACCCTTTCTAGAACTCACAGTGGTCCACAGTTGGTAGCAACAACTCATGGTGTACCCTTGCATGGGTGTATTGCCATAATTTAATTGAACTGTTATAGAGTAGAGGACTGTGCTACAAATAAGAGGTAAGGAACATAATTCATCTGGATCCAAACAAAGGCTGTTTGTTCACTATAACCCACAAGAATTTTGCCTTGTGGGTATATCAGAGAAGGAGCTCAGGGTAATCAATGGGTCTACCAAAATGGACACCACTGAAACTGGAGACCAGTGTGGGTGGGAGAGAGGAAGAATGTTATACATGCTGAGAGGCATAACTACACTGTCATAGAAACCACACTATAAACGTCACTTACCTGTTACGTTGCTCAGAGACTCTGTCTCTTCCAGTGTGCCATCAAAACCATTAATGCCTAGAATGCAAACGTGTTAAGAACCTCTGTTTTCAATTTTAAGTGTAGATCAAATGTTCCAACTCCCGCATCTATCCCACTGAATAATATCTTCATAATTTACCAATTGAACTCAGTACATTGTCTAAAGATGAAAATCTCAGACCTATAAAGGAAATGATCTGTGGTAACTGAGTACTTTTTAAAATTTATCCAGTGATTCATTCCATGGATATAGGAGAGTGGAACCCACTAAGGGCTTGAATCAAATCACCCAACTTCACCAGAAAAAAAAATGATCTCAAGAATATGAATCTCAAGAATACATCTATAGTTTCTGAAGGTACCAAGGAGGATTTGCCCAGGTTACAATCCCCAGAAATATTGGAAAGCCAGAAGTCCCATCAACAACGATTTGTTCTGAAGATGACAGAAGAGCAGCCTGACACAAGGGAAATACCCAATGCCACACAAAACTGAAGATTTTATAGAGAACCCTTTATCAGGTATGTTTCCAACCAAGAGAGCTAGAAGTAAACCCAGGAAAGGTACCTGCTATAAAGACACAAAATGAAAAGCATAGATGCCTAATAATGTCACCTCCTTTGTAGTTGTCCTGGGGGCCAACTACAAAGTTGTGTCTTCTCCCCATGGAGCTTCTGGGTAGCCTGTCCCTCAGTGACATTTTACATAACATAGATAATGGAGGGGACTCATGAGGCAGGAGATCTGCACAAATATTCTCTCAGAAAAATCAGATTCAGTGAAGGGAAATGGGGGAAAGAATAGAAATCTAGGGGAAAGAAAAAAAAAGTGTTCTGCTTTTGCTCCAATGGTCAGCTTCTTCATCCCTCAGCCACCCTCTTCTTCTCTACCCCACTGACTGCTGAGACCTCTATGTTTATCCTGAAAGCCAAGTGAACGTTAGGTGGAAAAATGAGAGCCCACGAACCGGTGGCCTTCCCACCACTCTCCACAGTCCAGGGAAAAACTGTGAAGATGACACTCCTCTGTGTCCTGCTGAGGCACTGGGTCAAATGCAGAGACTGAACCAACTAAAAGGCAATCTGAGAGCCTCATAAGTTTACAGACGGGAGAAGGACTCTGGAAATGTGAACAGTACCGAAGCTCTCTCTCCTGACCACTCCTTTACTTCTCTGTCCTTCAGAAACCTGTTCCTACTCTGCTTCTCAAAATATTCTAGCCAGAACTTTCAGGCCACTGGGCTGGGGCTATACCCAAAACAACACGTTGCCTTTCACAGGACACCCTAGTACTGCCGAGTCAGTTGTAGTTTTAGTTTGGAGGTGCAGCAGAACCACCTTGGGACTGAGACTGGTGGCCACATTCCTCTTCTTTCCTGAACACACAGCTGGACCTCACAGCCAGTTCCCTTGGAGTTAGGTATAGCCACAACATTGAACTCTAACAAGGGGACTATAAGGGACGTGCACCACACATTGATCTGGCGCGTGGAATTTCCGTGCACAGTAATCTGTGCTCTTTCCCTGCCCACTGGCCTGATGCAACAAACAAAACCACTTTGGAAGCCACCTGGAGAAGATGGCAGAGCCACGTGGCAGAGCCACAGGGTGGACAGTGGTTAGGTCTCTGAATCACCACTAGGAAGCTCCAACCAAAGAACAACCTTTAGAGTATTCTATAAGCAAGAAATGAATGATTATGTTTGAGCCATTATACATTCTTGACTCCAATTTGTTTCTTACAGCAATAAATCTACCTTAATTAATATGCACCTTCCTTCTGAGGTGCCTGTGGTGGAGGCTGTGTGCTTCCCGACACTGGTTTTCACTAGAGCATTTCATTGAGTAATTATGCTTCTGAAAACACTGCAGATGATATAAGACAGCCTTCCCTATTAATGATAAAACTTTGCTAAATAACAGGCCCCTGTGTTCCTGTGCAGAGGAAACAGGGCGAGTTGTAGAGTCAGACTGGGTTTGATCTCTTTTCCACAATATTCTGCCCAGGTGATTAATATCAGCTCACTTTCTCTTTCTGATCCTAAACCCTTCTCTGTAATTGGGACAACTAATTATCCCAATTAATTATTAGGATACATTTGCAAAGTGTAAAATTGAAGGAGTAGAATCAAGGCACTTAATACAGTACCTGGTACACAGAAGCTGTTATTGTCATTAATATTTATATTTACTAATATTTACTTGATTATACCCTTTAAGTATGGAAACAGCATACTGATTCTTCCTTTTAGCTTTAGCATTAAACATGAGTTCCCAGAAGACATGGATTATTTCTAATTTATTTTTGGATGCCTTCATCTAGAAGAGTGATGGTTACTTCATGAAGGGAAGCTATCCTTAGTATTAACATTAGTATTCACTAAGTGTCATCTCCAAAGCAAGACTTGTATCTATAAATCTTTCTCTGGAATCTAGAAGGGTGACCTACATGTAATTGGCCCTCAGCAATAGTAGTTAGTAACCTAATTTCTCAAAAAAAATTAATTAAATTTTAAAATAAATTCTCTCTTTAGGTAGTTGATGTGATTCTGGTCATGGGGATTGGTGGGAGGCAATGGTCACTATACAATAGGTGGGTCTGTGAGGGAATGTGGATTCCAAATCAGTAGCAGTCTGAAGTTCCCAACCCCCCTGTACAACATATGTAGCATTGCTCCCCACAACTACCAGAACATTCTTTCAAAGTGGAGCATTCTCCAGTTCCCACTATGTCATTAAAGGTAAACAATATAGCTTAACCAGCCTACCTCAAAAAGTTGTCATGAAATTCGTCCAATGCAAAAACAATTTACAGAATGCAAGTTTTTCTGGGAAATTGACTGGTGTCACTCTATCATCAATGTGCCTTACATAACAACTGTCAAATAGTTATTTTTTCCCCTAATTTCCAGAATTGTAAATAGAAATAGTGCCTGTATTTTTGATGCCATAATTAAAAAATACTACACTATAAAACTTTTTCAAAATGTTATTGAAAAGTGAAAACAGTACCAAAAACGTTGATGTGAAGCGATATACACATATGGAGGGATGCTGTACTGTAACGGTTATTCTCACGAAAGTTACCTCCAGTCTTCTTTGTCATCAGTACCCTTGCATTCATCCTTTCCCTTCATCTGGTGGGAGATCCTGTGTCCCGTTCTTGCCCTGTATAAGGCATGGCCATGTTTTACCTCAAGACATTATTACTAAGACAAATACTTTTCTATTTTATATATTACATAAAGACAAATATTTTTTATTATTAAATTGTCTGTTTCTTGGAAACACACCCAGAAATGACTTATTTCTTTGGCAATAAGGTAATAAAGCACTCCACCTTGTCCGAGACAAGGCTGTATCACACACAAGTAAGGCTAGCGGGTGATAAGTCACATTTCACTTTGTCAAGATTGTTCGAACAATGAGTAGACTCATAAACTGCCTTTGAAATGAAAAACAGGAATTGGGAGGAGAAGGCAGGGCAAGAGCTTAAATGAGAAAAATAGGTTGAAATTAAACTTTGACGTAGCTAGAGGAAATGTAGTTCAACTGCACTGTATATAAATAATTGTCCTGGTTACATAGGTAAAGAAGTTTGAAAGAAGGTGCAGGTTGCATTAGAAGTGTCACCAGTGGGTACTGTCAGGCTTGAGACCAAATGGCCCTCAAAGGGTCAGTTACCTTGGGGCTTTCTCCCTCAGGCAAGACTAGTCCTCCTGCTTTGGTATTCCATGTTTCAGCACACACAATGAATTCAGCTCTTGAGGATTTAAGCTCATGGGAGGTTGAGGGAGAAACAAGAAAGTCAACGTATCCACTTACACTGAGCCATGCAGCTTTCAGGACACTCCTGCGTGTCTCCTCTGGCTGGCCCAGAAACACAGCCTGAAAGCAGTTCTCTGGGTTGCCCCTGGCCTCAGAGCCAGTTGTAGGATTCAGATCACATGACTTACGGTCCATTCCTCTCCACCACAGAACACACCTGTCTCTGAGAGTCAGTGCATCAAGTTGGGGGAAATGCAGGCCTTCTGCCTTCCTGGTGTGCCAACCTTGGCCTGTCTGTCCCTTGTTCTCACCTGCCTCCTACACGTACTTAGCCTTACTCACCCCCACCCCATCTGGATGGCAGTCTTTCTCCCTCATCATATCAATGAGGTCAAACAAGGGTCTGAAGCTTCCTGTTGACAGCATGTGAA